GAAAGTCCTGGGAGACCTGAAAAAAGAGAACGGAAGGTTGTTATTGACAATTGCCTTCCAGTCCCACTCAAAAGGCGGCAGAGAGACCTCCTCGACGGAGCTAATATCGTTTTTCGACAGAAAAGGCGCGAAAGTGATCATACTTCCTGAGTCTAGGTCCCGCTTCTGCAACACAAGCAGTCAGCTGAGCAGGCATATCTGTCAGAATGAGACCCGCACTGCATTGCGACTACAAACCAATAGCCTTCCCACAGCCTCTCGCCCTGGTGTCTTGGTCGATGGCTCCAAACCCGAACACATCTTCTTGAAATACGACTGCCCTGGCCATCATAAGAAATGCAGCTGCAAAGGACGGGATCAGTGCATGGCTTATATCGCAGGGTTTCTTTGTTTCCACTTCGTCCTCAAACAGGAAATAATAAAGGAACAAGCAAAGAACATCACGGAACCGGTTCTCGTGCTCGTCTCAGATGAAAATCTCATTAACTCTCTGAAAGAGATCTACGAATACGATACCCGCTGGCTGGACTTCGTTCACCCCAAAGACTTCAGGGGATGCGAATCTAGCGTCGTTGTCACCTTCAACGTGGAGGACGTCTGGCTCCTGGAGAGCCTTTCCAGACCACGAACGAAACTTTTCATCATCGACTGCCTACCGGATCATCAAGAAGTGTGGCACATGATGAAGAAGGAAGGATTCGTGAAAGTGAAAGAAGTTCCCAACGACGGCGGATTCAACATGGATTTATCGATCCTCTCCTGTCTGAATAAAGCCGGAAAATTCCTGCAGGTGAGCCTCTCAAACCCTTTCCTCACTCTTCTGTTGCACGATTTCCCAGAAAAGGTTTCGTCCCAATGAGCTCTTGCGCTAAAAAAAAAAAAAATTCCTGGGAAACGATGGAAGCATGTGGTTCCATCGTTTCTCGGGATTTTTTTCTTTCAAATTATCTTTGAGCTGATTTTTTTTGTACTTTATTAAATAGATGATTCCAGTTATTCTAAACAAGCCACATCGAATCTAATTGCGCCTGGTACGTTCAGAATTGCACTCCTCTATTTTGATGGAGAATGAAAATGTAATTTATAAGGGAGTTGCCAGCATACAATATCCAGGAACCTCCGAATTCATGGACATTTCTTACCAATCATAGCATGGATTCCAAGACCTCCAGGGAAGATATTTTCAGGCAAGAAATGACAGAATACGTATACTTGAATTATCCTTGACTGCATATTCCTTAGGTGGTTCTCTGTGACACCCGGAAGATATGCAGTATCTGGTATGACCATTGATTTAAGTCGACCAATAAAACTGCCCACCTTAATTTGAGTATCGGTAAGCCGGTTATAATAACTCCTCTTTCTCACAGCTCTTGCCAGCATCAGTCAGTGCGCGAGGCTCCCTCAGCGGATATACTGTTCTAATAGTTGCTCGTTACTAAGGGACCACCGGGAGGTATGAAGGGTCATGTACGTAATATTTCTCACACGTACTGGGATTAATTTCATCGTGGCAAGAATCAGAGGTATCATAAAACATGAATTTTAAATTGGTCCTACCATTAATGAAATTAGCATTTTAGAAACTTCAGAAATGTCTCGGATATCTAGTGGTACACTTTCATCAAAACTACAGTCTTCCAGTCGTAGTATTGTCAAATTGGTTGCAGAAAAAATTACGACTGACTCATTACTCATGACTCATTAATCACCTAATATTTCGGGGTTTTTCTTCTAATAGGATCTGCAACAAACAAGTGAAAGAGCAGATGAGCTGTGGTTGAGGGATGCGGAGAAATTCATTGAAGAAACGTTTCCAGATCGGGAAATAGAGACGCGAGTCCTTCCACCTGTGAGTAAGGACATTCAGTCGTCGCTTGTGCACTTCCTCCAAGAGCTGGGAAGAAAGGACGAGAAGTCAATGTTCATCCTTTACAGTCAGAACGTAAGGCGGTTGGTGAAGAATCGCTTTTCGGGCGGACTGTACGAGAGATTGGAGAAGATTCAGGAAGTAGATCACGATATTGTTGTCATAGATCGGAGGCGTGGTTTGTTCTTCGTCAAGGTCTGCCACATCGACGAGGACCAACAGGAAAAAAATGGTGATCGAAGACTTCACCTCATCCAACAGAAGTGCGACAACGCGATGAGAGACCTCAACCGCCTCAAGGCATTGATGAAGGAGGTGGGAATGAAGAACAACCAGGTGAAGAAATGCTTCATTTTCCACTTCCCCATCATCGCCTTTCCTGGAGTGCGAATGGAAGAAACACCGCCCCAAAATGCTCTGGTTTTGTGCGAAAGGGAATGCAGTTCCCAAGCAAAATTTGAAACCTGGTGGGATGAACGTATCATTAGGTCTCTAATGGCGAAGAAACAAAAAATTGACGGCGAAACTCACCGAACGCTGCTTGCCATGTAAGTCCTCATTCCGAACTCGATCGTGGGATGAAACAGATTGTCATACTGATGAAACTAACAATCCGAATCACAAGGTATTGTATCTAAAAATTCGTCAAAAGTAGAATCTCCGTTGACACTCTAGAAGATGTAACTTCACCAACGTCTCAGCAATTCTTGAAACAAATTTTCCAGCCGTTCAAAAAAGCACCGCCTCATGATTTTCCTTTCCAACGAAGCGAAGGCGTCTTGTCAGTATGAAATTCAGGTATAAAGCCAATGTGACTTTTTGAACGAAGCTATAACGTACCCAGCAAAAACCTAACCATAATTAGTAATGCTAGAATACGCCACAAGAAAGGGAAATGCTTTTCACGAAACCACACAATGACTTTATGGATCATTGCAAGTCCACTCCTGGAGAAACGAAAATGACTTGTGGACGAAATAATATCTTCCTTTCACATCTGTAAATCACATTATTGTAGGAGGTAGCAAGAGGATTCCACGAGCTTCTGCATGAAGCCATATGAATCAAGCTGCCTATTCATACCATGGGTACAATATGCCTCCAGGGTGATTCCTTGTGCTGACCCGCAGGAAAAATTCCCATAGTATTCCCATGGAAATCCCATTGGAATCTATGGAACATGGGAACATCGTCGTTATGGACCTCGGATGGCTGGCCATTCGCTGCAACCATTCGAAACGGAAATACCTGGAGAGGGACAGATAGAGAATGTGAGGCCAGTCATATGATCGTGGGACTGTTACCACAACAAACTGCACGAGAAACTAGGAACGGAGCATAAAAGGTCAACCACAAGTCGAATGAAGTAGAATGAAAATCAGTTTTCAATGGCTTTCCCATTCCCCACCCTTCCCTTCGAAACTCACTAAAGTTAGGCCTAGGCCAAACCAACAGACTGCCTTCAGGTCACCCCAAAGCCTACCTTTATTTAAAAAAAAACCAACTCAAATCTCGACTTTCTCAATTAGGCCTTTAAGGATGGATCCGAGGGCATCGAGACATCTCGTTGAGAGCGTGTAACGTTAGGCCAATCGCAGGCCTATTCATTCTCTCACGAACCATTTCAGAGAGGACATGTAATGTTGGGCTTATTCAAGTCCTGTTTCGCGTTGAACCATTTCAGTGGGGACGTAAAACAAATGGCCTATCTGGAGTTCCTCGAACCATCTTGAATACGTCTGGAGAGGGAATGCCTCCAGGTAGCATGACAACCATGGTACGCGCCATCCTGTTAATTCGGGGATTTCGGATAAGATATCTCCATATCCCACCACATCGATTAATCACTGCTAACCACCGCTTCATTCTCAGCTCAACTCATGAACTCAGCACGAAAATGTTCCATAAGTTAAAAAAGAAATTATTCAGACGCCGACACAAAGGTTGAAGTAGTCTTGAATCTGGCAGAATTTTGGCACTATATCCGGCAAAAATGGGGGACGGAATCGGAACTAGCGCTTTTAAGCCTAAATGAACCACAGCTACTTTCATTTTTATGGAGAAATGGTGCATCGCAAGCTATAAAAGGGCAATATTCGTCATCTATTGATACAAGTCAATATCTTTCTCATGGTTGGTCTCTTTCCTCCGAAAGCCTCCCAGGAGTCACCCCCCCCCCCCCGCTTCCTTGGGTAGTTACTACCCCAAGGAGGTGGGGGAGAGGAAAAAAAGGAATGAAAAGCGAGATTCAGTGATCTCCGCAACGACGAGGAGATGGAGCTTCAATTTTTCTGGAGCGATTCTGTGTTAAGACAGGAAGAATCATGCCAAATTTCGTTCCTTTTGATCCTCTCAGAGAGGAATACGAGAAGGTTGAATTTTGTGGCGAGAAGGGGCAATAGATTTCTATAGGTTCCCTCAAGCAAAGTGACCTCCAAACAGCATCTTCAGCGCAAACGATGTAGTATTCAGAGTAGAATTCTTCATCAAGGATGAAGGACGTCTCCATACGTACAGGCCTTCGTGACCCAAATATACCAACACAAAGGGCAAGGAAAACAGACTCATCCGGGGATCAATCACGTCGAATGAACTGGTTGGCAACCGGAGTAAGTGCTGATCTGATAATTCCTGATTCTGCTTTGACTGCTTTGATGTCGAGCTCGAGCATCGAGGGTGCGGGGTGAAAGATTGTCATGTTGGAACACGATTATTGACGGGGAGGCGTCGTTGTATGGGTTGGTATTTCCCACCGTTGGTTTACAGACAGGTTCACCATATCAAGAGAGTTTATTATATCCTCACTGGATAGAAGTACTTGAATCTGATTGTGGTACCTCCGGTCAATACTTTTATAGTAGAATTGTAAGAAGATCATGTGTTAAAGGATGATAACGCCTATCCACGCGGCCACAGAAGGCTCCTATATTTCATGCTTGGAACACAGTGCCAGTCATCCGTTTACCTTGATGTCCATGTTCGCGAAAATTCATTCACATCAAAAATGGGTTGAAAATTCTGGGGAGAAGAGTTTTGAAGAAATTCCCCTCTAACCATCCAGTGACTTAAGGTGCCATCAGACGCTATGATTTTGCTCGTATATGACCGCTCCCATATGAGTGAATTTGCTATGAGCAGGTGATTAAACGCTATGAGAAGACCTTGTGAGTTTTCAGGACAACGTTAGCTGCATGCTTGGTTCCTCTCCTGCAGTGGCCCTGTCTGGATCGGGATGTAATTTTCCGGGATAACATTTTGACTACTGGATCATGTTTTCTTTTTTAACTGATTGGAGGGACTTTATTGAGGAAGCTTAGAGGATGTCAGTGAAGTAGAAAATGTGACAGACGTAAGTGGATGCAAAAACGGCTGGCGAGGAGGTGAGAAAAGAGTTTCTAAGCCAATATTTTCCCAGAATTACTTGAGGATAATCCAAATCGTTTTCATGCTCTTCTGAGGATGAATCATGACATCTTCATGGAACTCATCGAACTCATCGAATATTGGTACTCGTCGAACCCAAAATCAAGAGAGCAGATACAATCAAGTATTGGTATTGGTATTGAGATTGGTATTAAACAGGGTTCAACAATATTTCAGTGAATAATATTAGGTACATTAAATTATTGTCGTGATCATAAACTTCTTTAGCTGGATGAAGTTTCCTGTCTCACTGAGACAGTGCACATTGTAATTATAATTCCTTTCTCAGTTTCCTAAAATATATTTTCTCTGCAGATTTCACAGTTTGACGTTTTCTTTAACCCCTTTTAAAGATTCGTTGCACCACTGTACGTCACACCTGCCACGGAGAAGGGCATCAGATGCTTCCATGTTCTCAACCAGAAACAATTGGAAATCTTGGTCAACGAAAAGACAAAGTATGCGATCAAAGGCGATACGGATACGGAAAATGTCAAGTTGATCAAGGAGAAGACCCGCAACATTGTGACGAAATGGTTCTCGCAGATACAAATCACCGAACCAGAGTATATATTGGTCCTTGGTCCAGCTGAAACCCTCATGGAACGGCTGAGAAAGACAATGGCACCATGGATCGTGAGCTCCTCGATTGATGCCTATTCCACTTGGACAACCATGCCTCGAGATGAGACGGAAAACAGACTTAAGCACGTAGTTCGCACGAGCATCACCTTCTGCACCTTTTCCTCTGGGAGTAGTAACACAAGTGAGATGGCCAGACGTGACGGGGAAGCTTCCGAGACGGAGCGTATAACAGACAGTGAGATCATGAGCATGGACGAACCTCATGTCTTTGGTATCCTTTCCATTGTTCCAAAAGACAATACAAAAGATATGAGAAATACAGATCACAAGATTGTTGTCCCTGATGAAATATCAGAGGAAAAATCATCATCTGATGCACATCCCGGGGAAATGCGGGAACTCTCGAAGGACGAGGAATCTATCCAACTGTTGGATGCCTACATGAGAGGGCTCCGCATTCATGGCCAAAAGGACTCAAGAGGAATCTCAACGCAGGATAGTTCTATGATAATGAAACCACATGTCAGCACTAACGAAGAGAACAACAGTGCTTGCCTTTTCTGCAGCTGCAGAAAAGGCAGGGACACTCCAGAACCGAGATTGATGCTCCACTCCGCTAAATTGCAAGAGCTCAAGCGGGAAGGGAAGAAGTTNTGCAAAAACGGCTGGCGAGGAGGTGAGAAAAGAGTTTCTAAGCCAATATTTTCCCAGAATTACTTGAGGATAATCCAAATCGTTTTCATGCTCTTCTGAGGATGAATCATGACATCTTCATGGAACTATTGGTACTCGTCGAACCCAAAATCGAGAGAGCAGATACAATCACAAGGGAAGTGCCATATAGGCTGACCATACCAACCAATCAGGGGGCATACTTGCTATGAGCGACCACAAGAAAGTCAAGGATGTCTCGAGACCTTATGAGTTGTTATGCCACTCATATGTGAGTTACGAGTCGCTCATAGACACTGATTACACGAGCTCATAGCTCATATGGGATCAGTCACATATGAGCAAAATTAGAGCGTGTGATGGCGCCTTTAGAGATGCTATGGTAAAAGAATGGAACGGTACTACCTTCCAGGACTTCTGTCATTTGCATTCCACCATAAACCGGCGCATTCAAACTTCGAACCAAAGGAAGAACAAAAGGGGATAAAAGTGAGGACTCACCAAATACGGCTGATCCCCACTCAATAAGGAGCTGTCACTTATTTCGTATTTCTGAGATTAAAGATAAACTCTATAGAACAGTAATGAATTTCGTATTGAATTTCACTGTACATTACCTGTATCCCCCAGGAACATAATTTTTTCTTGAATAAAATCGGTATTGAGATTGGTATTAAACAGGGTTCAACAATATTTCAGTGAATAATATTAGGTAAATTAAATTATTGTCGTGATCATAAACTTCTTTAGCTGGATGAAGTTTCCTGTCTCACTGAGACAGTGCACATTGTAATTATAATTCCTTTCTCAGTTTCCTAAAATATATTTTCTCTGCAGACTTCACAGTTTGACGTTTTCTTTAACCCCTTTTAAAGATTCGTGGCACCACTGTACGTCACACCTGCCATGGAGAAGGGCATCAGATACTTCCATGTTCTCAACCAGAAACAATTGGAAATCTTGGTCAACGAAAAGACAAAGTATGCGATCAAAGGCGACACGGATACGGAAAATGTCAAGTTGATCAAGGAGAAGACCCGCAACATTGTGACGAAATGGTTCTCGCAGATACAAATCACCGAACCAGAGTATATATTGGTCCTTGGTCCAGCTGAAACCCTCATGGAACGGCTGAGAAAGACAATGGCACCATGGATCGTGAGCTCCTCGATTGATGCCTATTCCACTTGGACAACCATGCCTCGAGATGAGACGGAAAACAGACTTAAGCACGTAGTTCGCACGAGCATCACCTTCTGCACCTTTTCCTCTGGGAGTAGTAACACGAGTGAGATGGCCAGACGTGACGGGGAAGCTTCCGCGACGGAGCGTATAACAGACAGTGAGATCATGAGCATGGACGAACCTCATGTCTTTGGTATCCTTTCCACTGTTCCAAAAGACAAAAGATATGAGAAATACAGATCACAAGATTGTTGTCCCTGATGAAATATCAGAGGAAAAATCATCATCTGATGCACATCCCGGGGAAATGCGGGAACTCTCGAAGGACGAGGAATCTATCCAACTGTTGGATGCCTACATGAGAGGGCTCCGCATTCATGGCCAAAAGGACTCAAGAGGAATCTCAACGCAGGATAGTTCTATGATAATGAAACCACATGTCAGCACTAACGAAGAGAACAGCTGCAGAAAAGGCAGGGACACTCCAGAACCGAGATTGATGCTCCACTCCGCTAAATTGCAAGAGCTCAAGCGGGAAGGGAAGAAGTTCGATCATATCTTTGTTTTCGGGGTTCATGCTCTTGGCCGGGCTGGGGATAGCCTCTGGATTGATGACGTATACGATGTACACTTAGGGCATGTTGATGGACATTTTTGGATATTCACCATGGACGATAAACTTCCGGGAAACGCGGATAAATTGCTCAGCACTTCCTCTCGAAAGAAAGGTAAGAATTTCTATTATACTTTTCTAGTAAACAAAATTCCGATCTTTGAAGCTTTTCAGGATTCCAACCTAAAATTTCCATTTAAAAATGGTACGGTTTTCAAAAAGAAATTAGTACATGTGAATGTGCACCCGTGAGAGTCCTGTACATACATAAGCTAAACTTCTCATGTTATGAAAATGGAGAGATTTAAAGCTCCAGGCTTTCTTTTTCACATGGTATGAACAGGGACGACTACGACTACTAACGAACTCCAACATTGGGCACGTGAACTCGTGAAGGGATATGAGCGTTTCCTTGAAAATCCTAAGCCCAAATCCGAATTTTGATGAGAATACAACTGTTCCCACCAGGCTCAGAACACTCTCATGCACTGTCTTCCATGACAATAATCGACGGAAGGGGTAATTAATGAGGTTAATTTATGAAAAGGGTACTTGGTGTACTTCGTTAACCAGGACTGTCGGTGTACGGACTTTTCCTTTGCAGTGGGTTTAGTTTGTTGTCTTCACTCGCGACTGATTCCAGAGACATCAATTCTCCTATTTCCATGCAAACATAACCTAGAAGGGTAGTTCTCAGTAACTGAAACAAATATGAATTCCGCCCTTACATCTCAAGAATGTTTTCTCTCTAATCAATATGTGAAGATTAAGATGCGGAATTCCACGCTTGGTGAAATAAGGGAAGGCTCATATTTCCCGTGTTCCTCATCATCCTTATGAAGAGGATGAGGATCATACGCCGATCTAAGTGCTGCTGTGTGGTATATTTATAGACACACGTCGTATTTCCCCAAAGGATTGCCAAGTTCCCCACACTTTCCTCGCAGTGCTTTGTTTCATTCAAGACATCTTGGCAGAAAGCTTTAAAGTTTATTATCTAACTAGTACAGTTCGTGACTTGGAATCCTCCTTCGGTTTAATCAGATAGCGATGAGTAAGTCTTTTGTAATGTCATTGATTTCAGACTCACTTCGGTCGTTAGAGTTGACTTTTGACATGCTTTTCATCAGTGTCGCAAATGGTTAACTAGATTGGATCTGTTCGATAGTAGAGTCAGGAGCGATACAGATTGGTCCACTATACACGTTAAGTATAACGTCACAAATGCGCTCATGAGGCAGTTAAAAATCATCACATATACTCATATGACACTGCCAAAATTATGCAAAATTAAATGACGGTGCACCTAGTCTCGAATAGTTATGGAAAGTAGAACTCTGTTAAATTCAATGAACAATTATTCCACAGACTCACCATCTTGGAAATGCAAGATACATCAAGATTCGTTGACTCCGATAAGCTCCGATTACTTCGATATGCAGATGCTTATCGGAGTACAGGTAAACAATGATGAGGAAAATTCAGCTTCTTGTTCTTTCCAGTTGGGAGAGCGACTGAGGAAATAAAACAAGGGAGGGGATTAACATGGATCCATCAAGCTCAAGAATACATTAAGAGAACTTACCCTGACTGGGAAAACGACAAAACAACTCGCCTGGTTCCACCAGTGGAAGATAAACGCGAATGGGTCAAGGTATCCAAAACTCCTGGAGAAAACTCCAAGAGGCAGCTCATTCTTCGCCTGTATCAGTTAGGACAGAGAAACAAATTGCCAATGTTCATCACGTACAACCGGAACTTTGTCCATCTCATCGAGAAGGGGGATGCGGAAAAAAATGAGGGCATCCTGGAACGAGGAGTTCAGGATATCGTCTTGATACACTGCACTTTAGGAGCTATTTTCATTCAAGTGAAAAATCTGGACACCAAAGAGACAGAGAAGAATCGCGGCGAAGCAGTGGCGAGGAACATTAAAGCCGCAGTGGCGAGGAACATTAAAACAGCCAGAGAGCAGCTTCAGAAGGATGTCCGCAGCCTGAAAACCGCCATGAGAAAAAGCGGCCTGGAAGACGCAAAGAAGTTTCTCTGCATACGAGTAATTGCTCTACCGAACGTGAAGAGATGCGAAATCAAAGACTCGTCTCCCAAAGACTTGTCACCCAGTGATCACCCCGTGTTCTTGTGCGAAGAAGAGTACCAGTCAGCAGTAGCACTTGAGCGGTGGTGGCAGAAACGCATCCTCCCTCCCAATCATCAAGAAAGATCCACCGTCAATTCCAAGGTTTATCTCCAACTTCTGGCAATGTAAGTTTCACTAAAAGTACACAAGTCAAATATACATAGGGGAAAGCGGGGTAATAGGGCGAGGGGCGAAACGGGGCAACTCTGATTTTATCCAAATCATTCCCAATATCAGATAGATATTGGGAATGATTTGATTAAAATCAGATACAGTTAAAATCAGAAATAAAATTTTTTTGTGTTATAACCCCCCACAACGGGTGCAAGTTTTCAGGCACGGCGGCTCTGTAAAGTAGTTTGTAAACACCCTGGGAGCAAAATAAGAAAACATAGAATCTTCTTATTTTGTTTCGAGTTTTTGATGAGGGAAACAAAGTAGCATTGGGACATTGAAGGAGTCCAATAATTATTTTTTTTAGCTAAAGCTGAAAACGTGAACTATTACATCAAGTCATGACTTTTTGCATAGCTCACTCACTTTATTTTTGGCAGTGTCTTAATCCTAGACAATGCTGGTGGGGTGAAACGGTGTCACAGTGAGGGGGCAATAAGGGAAAATATAGCGGCTCTGTACATATCTCTTCTGCTCTTCTCTTCTGCTTATTCTCCTCTGCTGGAAAATATCCATTACAACGGTGAGACTCAGGCTGACGCGGTGTGATACTGTTCCAATTCTTTCTCTTGCTCAAAACCCGGTGAAGGTTGTGTGATCTGCTCTGTTTTCCTGAATTCGGCTCATGGCAGCAGTCTAGGCATCGATGACGACATGGATGAGGACGTGCTTGCTTGTAACTTCTGTAAATTCGCATCTATGATGAAGACATGGGGTGAATTTCATAAAACTGACTTTATCGTAATGAAGCTTTAAACATCTATTAGCACCGTTTAAGGAGGTTTAAAGCATTACTACGCTAAAGTCAGTTTTTTTTTGCAATCCACCCATGGATAACAATTTGAAACAGCAACAATTGTTTTGCCATAGAAGTTTCATTGTTGTTTCCGTTATGTGGCCTTAGTAAGGAGGCACATGATGAAGATATGGAAAAACGTGAAAAAGTTTAATTGTAGGTGTTTCATTGCTGTTTCTGTGCTTTGAGGCAAGTAAGTATGAATATAATGAAGACTTGGGGAAACGAGAGAAGGCAATGGGTAATTTGGGGGAATATGGCCCTACAAAGGGAAATCTGGTCGGAAATGCCCTCAAGGTCGAATTTGACCTCGTCGATTTTTTCAAAATATAGAGTGATATCTCCTTTAATCAATCCCAGAAAGGCACAGGCAATAAAACACATGGATATTGCGCATTTGGGTCCTTTCCAAGTTGGTCCCAAGAGGCCATAATACCCCTATTGTTGGGGAAATATGGCGAGACATTAGGGGTAATTTGAAGATTTCTCACAAAACAACCGAAGGTTTTTAAGATACATGGGAAATATACTTGAACATGCTGAGTACCTTGAAACAAACGTGGTTATGCAGTTGAAAGCTACATTTTCAACCGCGTTGAAGACAAGCAAAGAAGTCAACATCGTTATCTGACTCCAGGAGTTACTATTGCAAGCAGGATTTCAACGCTTTTGGCTATGCGTAGCATTGCACACGATTTGGAGATTGTACTTTGAGACTGTGGGCGTAAGAGATCATGCATGGATCGATGTTATCATGCGCTACGAGTGTGAGAAGGTCCCATAGTGCAGTGAAAATGTACCGTAGCAATTTGCTTGTATACATTCAGTAAATCGTACTTTTAAAAAATCACAGGATGACATAAAAAATTTTTGAGCTAGAAATATTTACTTGCGTTCAAATTTTGTGCCACGAAAATTTCTGGAGTATACCAGCTGATGTCCAGAAGCGTTGCATCTATCAGGATATCTGCTGAGTATTTTGTGCGGATTTCCAGTGCATCTTCTTACGCCCACAGCGTATATCCAGGACATGAGTATAGCAGTGGCGGCTCGTTGTTCATGCTGTAGGGTAGACCAGTGACATAGCCAGGGAAGGGGGGCTGTCCTGGCTTCCACCTCCCTTCCCCCCTAGCTTACATAAGTGTTTTTAGGCCCTCATAGGACTTCATAAACCCTCCTAAAAATAAGATTATCGCTACGTTACTGGGTTAAGCCTAGATGCTAAGGAAATACATATGCGACGGAAAACCGGAAAAGGACTTTTTAGCATGCCTCTTGAACGAAGTCTGACTGCCAAGGGTAGTGTCATGTCCCATGGCAAGCCAGTGGCGGATTCAGGGGGGCGGGACGACGATCGCCCCCCTATGGTCCTGTTCGCATTCTTTTTTAAATTTAAAAGGCACATTAAGTAATCATTTCTATGCTTCATTAACAATAGATGATTACCTTTAAATTACGCCATGCTTTTGCACGGGCTACTGTGCACCGAATTAGTGCCCAGAGTTCACCATAATGTTTGTACCATAATGTTTTTCTTGTCAATAAGCTTTCATGTATCTCTCCAATACAGTAAATGTGTTCTTTCATTTTCTTCAGGAAGAAACCATCACGCATGAAGCCACGTATAATTTTACACTACGTTCCCTTGATCATTGGTTATTAGACTAAGAGCTAGGGCGATTGAGAGAGATTAAGTGGAAAAAGTTTGAAGGGACCAACATTTCTGACAGAAAGTTGCATATTTTGCGAGGCGATATCATGAGGAAATATAGGGAGAGGAAATGATAAGCTAGAAACCAACTCCATGACAATGGCTCATGATTTGAACATTTGAGTACGAGTATATTCTCGTTAGTGAAATCTCTTAGGCACCATCTGTTACCCTTTCAGTGAAATATTGAGCCAGTATCAATGCAGATAATACGTTAGGCTTCGATAAGGGCTCCTGCACGTGAAGTTTTCGCATGCTACAAACAGGTCCCAAGGACCAGTATATAAGCACTGGTTTGTGATCACAAGTGGCACTGGAAGTTCTCCTTATCTCCAGGAGGAAAACATTAGCTTGGTATCAACACACTTTTCAATGCACGAATGGTTTCGCGAGCGCTGTCACTTGGGGGCTCGTTTCGGCCGAGAAGTTTGCTTTACTGCTTTTGAGGGCGCATTTGCAGTTATACTTTCCTCGTTCAGTGGTGGAAAATTCTGCAATTCTACGGCAGTACGTCTGCAATGTCACATCAGACTTTATATTATTTTACTGTATTCGACTTGGGAGGACAAAGTGGCATCTAACTGGATGTCGAATTTCTCAGTGTCCAGGTGACATGTACGCAAATGATCAAGAAATGATTATCTAAAAAATTGACAGATTCATATTTCTACATTTCAAATGCCAAAATCAAAACGTTGTATATTAATGAATTCATACATGATTTTTCTCAGATACATCGCTCCCGTGTACGCACTTCCGGCCTATGCTGCCCGAAGGACAAAAACGAAGCTGAACTTATTCACCAAAGACAAGTTGGGCATGTTGGTGAACGGTCCGAGAAAGTTTGTGCTGAAAGGAGCGGCCGGAACTGGGAAAACATGGTTACTTCAGGAAAAAATTCGGGCTATCGTTGGATCTTGGTTCTCTCTTGGACCAATCGAGGACAAGGATGAAAAGGTCCTTCTTGTCTGTTGGCATCGCCTTCTGGTCGATCACTTTAGAGAGAACCTTTTCGACCTCCTGCTTGAGTCAGCAATGGCTGTACTCGGCAAATGGGTTGACAGTAACGACGAGAAGGAGAAACGACGGGTCCGGGATATTCTATATAAGAATATTATCATCTGCCACTTGGGTGTCGGTATGAGAGAAATAGGGTCTCTCGCCATGGAAGCAAATAATGCAAAAGAAGAACCAGGACCAAGACACGACGGGTCAGGAAGCGATAAAATCCGGGAAGCGAATCTCGCAACAAGGATTGTATATGCAAGTTGGGAGGCATTCCTATTCTACGAGCTCCTTCGAAGCGCAGTGGCTGCCCCTCGACCAGGAGAGGATGAGAGATGGCAGCAGAAAACGAAGGAAATCGGAAGTCTCTTCCTGGACTTCACGCCATCGACTGCGGCCTTGAACGTCTTGGCTGACAAAGTCGGAGTCATGACGTCAAAAGAAGGCCTCGATTTCCAGCTCATCAACAGAGGAAGTGTGAGTCGATCGATGCTGGGAATCAGCAGAAGGTTATTCGAATGCTTAGCCCTTGTGAAGGAACTGCTTTCAGCTAAACAGTATGGCGTTTTGGAGGAGGAGGCAAGTTCATCCATGGAGGACGTAAGAACGATCTTCCAGACCGAAAAGCCTCCTTTTCATCACATATTTGTGGACGAAGCAGAAGATCTTTGCTCTAATTTTGAAGATCACTGGTCGAATTCTTTCCGTTCGCTTTACGAAGGTACAGGATTCTTCTGGCAGGCCTATGACCCCCTTTCCCTGAGAGAGATTCCAGTAGCGTTGAAAGAGGAAGTGGAAGCGGCACACACGCTATACGAAGTTATGAGAAACCCAAGATACGTGATGGAGACGTGGGCTAGAGACAAGACGCTCTGGAGCGAATGGGACTCGACCCGTTCCGGTTCCCATCACCCGAAGTATGCAAGAGAAGAAATCCGGTTGGGGCACGATGTCATGGGCCCCAAAGTGGAAAAGTTCCACGTCTCCAGTCGAATTCTTGATGAAAAAATCCAGGGAATACTAAAAGACAAGTTTGGATGCGGGGCATACGTCGAAGATATCGCCATCCTCTTCGTCGCTCAAAAAGATTTTCACGTTCACGGAGAACGGCTGAGGAGAGAAATAGGGGAGAGACTCCAGAAATCTTTCAACACCGCCTGCGTTGTCGTCGATGAAGCCGATTCCTTCAAGGGCCTGGAGGCCGCCATAGTGTTCTTGATCATCAACAAAAGAGAAAAGAGAGGGATTAGTTTCTACTTGGGAGCATCTCGATGCACCTCCCACCTCATCCAGCTCGTCTTGGAAACCAGCGAAGAAGAAGACGCTGCTGCAGAACTGGAACTCGCCAAGTTCATTCGCCAAACGTTTCTCCATAAAGTAAGAGAGAAAGATAAAGACGCACTTGAAGTAGAATGTCGCCGATTGCATTTCAAGGAATAGCCGGAAGCGGAACCCGGACGGCCATGGAGTTACAACGAACGCCTTCACAACATGCTCTGCAAGTGGTCCGTGTGATTCTGGATGTGCGGAGACCCTGGGATGCCGAAGCCCATTTCTCTCCATCAGACCATGTCATCTTTGTCTCTTTCCATGCTGGTCGGCGGAAGAATCGAGCAAGTGTGCTCGACCTCCAACTGGTCTCCCGACAAGTTCATCCCTCCCGCCAAAATTTTGCCGTCGTGGCTCCCTTCATGAAATATGATTTCACTTTGTCTCCCGGTTCCATGATCACGAGAAATACTTTCAATTATGTGCATTTCGGAAGCTGCAATATCAACTTTTTTTTACTGACGTGATATTTTGCTCAAATCCGTTGCTTGCCCTCCATAGGAAACGGAGAACTCCATCACAAACGTTCGTGTCTCCTCCCTTAACAAATTAATGATATTCAATGAAAATTAGTGTCATTCTACGTGAAAATAAGACAATAAATATGATTACTTCTTTGTCTTGTCCGAATAAAGAGTTGGCTCAAAATGATGCACCCCTGTTTGCATCTCTTTCCTTTTTCTCTTCTCCCATCCTCCTCCCTTCAGAAATCCATATGAATTCTATCTACCTCGGAATATTTAGATTTTGACTTTGCAGACTTTGGAGTCTGAATTTGCGATAAATGTTCAAAGACATAGGTAAGAACAACATTATATTTACTTGAGCAAAAAAAAAAACTAAAATATGATGGAATAAGGTAATCTCCAGAGGTTTGAGAATACTGACTTCGTTTTTGAGATTGCTAAAAAAAAATCAATTAACATAAATTGGACATTCCAAGAAATTATATTAAAGAAATTATATTATGAAATTTGTGGAATTTTGTATTTATATTATGAAATTTATATTATGAAATTATATGTTAAATGTAATGGCATGGCCGAAGTCGCGATTCAGGCCTGGAATATTCAATTTGAGATTCGCCCATCAGGAAGTTTTCATGATGGTATACGCTGAGTGGTCTCAGTTTCAACTTGAATTATCCTAATATCGTGAATGAAAGTTAGCCTTTCTTGGTTCCTGACGTCATTATGGAACTTCGAATTTTATCAAGCCTCGAATGAAACACATAAGAAACAAATTCCTCTACCAGAAATACGCACGAGTCAAGAATTCCATCAATGTTGAAAACTGGTGGACTGATGTTCGGGGGAAATTTTTAAAAGGAGCTTATGATACACCTCATGCAACTATAAAGCTGTATTTATGTCGCTTTCGGTATGCCATTGAGATGAGGCGAGATTGGACGGTGCGTCAATTTCAAAATGAAGGAAACAGCATGGACCTCATGGACAAAACGACGTTGAGCATTGCGCATCGAATGCTCTCAGATGACGAATTCGAGATCGGCTCGTCAGGGGCCAAATATTACACGTCTTCTTCCAAAGGGTCACGAATGGACCAGCATAGACTTTGCAGAAGGTACGCGCGACAATAGGTGTTAGGGCTGCGATTGGCTTAGGACGCTGATAACTGGAGATGTAATCTCTTCTGCCCTAAGAATGAAAACCGAGACCGAGGTCAACTAAGCTCTCATACATGACTTCCCGTAAGCAGTTCGAAGTGAATGAAATGTCCATCAGTCTCAATCGGAAATTCACACCACATTATTTCCTGCATGATCCATGAAGGAATCCAAAGACAGGAAGAGTATAGATTTCTGCTGGGCTTCGTAAAGACACAAAACTAAAAGGAGGGATGGCGATTACCATTACGCGGAACATGAAAGACCTGAGAAACTGAAAATAAGTGCCCCCCCCCGGTGCATTTATTTTCCTTGGAAGGACAGCTAAGGCTCACCTGGCGAAAACGTATGTCCCGTAGTGGGAAGTAAGGACTGGCACCCTCCATAATCCCTGCAGACGCTCCGAGAGACGAGCTGCTGTCCTCCACTCGTGCCGGGATGATTTGGACATTCCTCCCTCTCATCGTCAGTCATCAGCACTTCGACTTTGGTTTTCAGCGATTTGTGTCGTGGTTTAGCTGGGTTCATTTGTACAGAATAATTTTGGACTGAAAGCATACGAAATCGAAGCCAATATCGTATTTAAAATAGAATTCAATTAATTCTTAATTTCTATTCCTTCTGCATTTTCGGATTATCATTTGGAATCGAGAATACATTATGAATTATAATTGATTGCTTCCTTTCCGGACTCTATTTTGCAATAGTCAGAATGCAATTGGAATGCAAATGGCAAATTTTGCAACGTTCATTGCACTGCTACCGTAGAGAAATCAACTCTTCTTGCATATTGCATCTCCATATTTGAATGATCTTCAGTTTCGTTTCGGATCTTCGCATGGCTTCTCTTCGGAGTAACATTTCCGTAAATGAAGCTAGTCCTATCTGACAATAAAGAGTCAAAGAACGTAATCTTGATGTAATTATAATTTTAAAAACTAAAGCTTTCATTTCTTGCAAATTTCCATTTGCTCCCCATTTCTGAAATCAATAACTGATATTTTGAATAATTAATAGGTGTTGGATATATGATTGACCGTGCCCAATCTGATGCAGACTCTGAAATATCCTTTTCGTCCTATTCGTGATCGGTGCAGTACCACATCAGCAGTACTTGACATTTTTCGTCGCATCCGGAAGCAACTAACCTTTCGTGGGCCTTTCATAAAAAAGGCCTTCGCCAACACCAGACCGGACAAAAGGTACAATTTCGTGTTTGACAATGCTCGAAAGCATGGATGCTGAAAGATCATTCCTCGATGCCCAAGATGATTCTCAAGAAGCCAAGCGATGAAACGCATCTGCAGAGTGTCAATTCGCAGTGTGGACGCAGACTCCTCCTGCAGAGAGACACATTCTTTTCGACGCGGAGCCCACTAGACATCCCATCCACGAACGAAGACCTTTTCGCTTCTCGGTCTCATGACGCCTGCATTTTCTTTCATCTCCCGGGGTCTTACATGGCCTCGTAGTCTCTCATTTTCTCTGCCTAGACTGTGGAAAGGCCAAACACAACGACCTACACTCCCCCACTTCTTATCCGCCTTGCGTTGCTCCTGAGCCATGCGGATTGCCTGAGTAACAGGTATGACTGAGAATAACCCTTAAAATGTACATCATAAATGTCTTTAAATGTGAGTCTATTGCACTCCATCTGCGCCAACCCCGGCGTTCGCGTTCCCCCATGAGCGAGCTTCTTATATATTGAGTGACGTTATTTTAAATTATCAGATTATATTACAGATCATACTACTGTAAATAGGTGAAAGAATGACATCCATGTTTGAAATTAAGGTATAAAACAATTCCGATAGGCTACGGCTTTTGCTTTGAGCTTTTCTCCCATCGATTGCCCTTGGGTAACTGTCTCTCATTAAAAGTACTCTCAATGCTTTCTCCATAAGGGAGCTCATATTTTACAAATATGACAAGGACTCCAAAAATTAATTGGAGCTTCCATGGGCGAGCAGAGGCCGATCGATGGATTCTCACAATTTGAAGAAACCCCAGAACTGTTGATCACTCGAGCGCGTTCCGTCCGTCCGAAACGGAAACGTGCTGTACTGAACTCTTGCTAAGTGCTGATATTTCAGCAGAATGAGGTGTCTAATTGTTTGCGAACACACTATCGGGATCCTGTACCACTTCCTAATATTTTAGGCTAGCCTTTCCCTTTTCGTATCCGTTTTACTCTTTAAATTTCCCGCATTCAACGCATCAGAGCGCGAACGAGTTCTCACTACGAAGATGGAAGAGATCGTATCAACAATGATTGACTTTTTTCCGCCACCAGGTCGTGAAATTTCTAGTCCTATCGTGCTTCTCCTTCGTGATTTATACGTACCCCACGATCCAATATCACCTGTTATTCGTGCCATGGAGCTCCACCACCCTATAGACAGCTGAGGCAATTGCAACGTTCGTGATAGTGGCCTTGACTTAGGTAAGGTAGTGTTCATTTTTCTTTCACACAAGCCTAACGTCTCCACTCCACTAAATTAATGCAGGAGCGTTGGAACTCGCGTGCCGACGCATACTGTACGTTGACGCGAGTGGATGCATAACATGCAAACACGTGGAGGAAAATGACTGCGAAAATCTGCTCGGGGAGAAGGAAGGCCGAGATGAGACTCCTCGACATCTGTCCCGGTATTTATTTACTTCAACACTCGAGTCATTTCCTTCCTACCGAGAGGAAACAACGGACGATACGCGATGACACGGATTGCAGTCTCAGTTAATTCCATTTCGATAACAGAGTCGAACTCGCATGGTTTCATCGGCTGGAGCCGTCATCCTTATCGTCAATCATCTGACGTGTTGAGCTGTACCCGGGCAGATAAGTGCCAGGGGATCGATTTTTTTTATAGGGCAGAGACAGCCCTTGATCTCTGTTGAGATGGCATGGCAACGGGCAACCTGTCACAATCTCTCTCTTTTCCTCGTAATTTTGAAGGACTCGGGCAACATTGAAACAGAAAGGTGCCAGTTCCCTGGTACATGTTTAACAATCCGAATACAGACAAAGAAGAGATTGGTTCGAGTGTTCGACGATAAAGCGGAGTAGGAACGCGCGACAACGAAAGGCTGAGCATGCGGAGGTACGACCTGCTGCCTGAGAGCCTGACGTCCGCCTCTCATTTCGTGGGATGCAGCCCTCACTCCCCTCCTCCCTACTTCCTTATAACACTGTGGAAGAATTCCTGTCGCCTGTTTCTTGGAAGGTCGTGGTAGTGGAAAGGGATCGAATGGCAAAGGGATCTTCCGAGCTCAAGAGAGGAATCGTGCTGCCCTCGCGACTGCATTAACTCTTGGGGGAACGGATTTCCCGAAAACTCATTTGGGATAAAAATTCCCCCGATGAGAATCTATTCCAATGATGCAATCAGAACATGAAAATGAGAATGACTTTGAATTGAAAATCACACCATCAACCCCTGACCTCCGAGGGGTAAGCCTGTACCGTCTGGTAACTTATATCTTCCTCCACCGGTGAAATGAATAATATTGTGGGAAAAGGAGACATGGTCGCTTGAAAAGAAGCAGCCATGACGGAAGTCAAATTCAAATACCCGGATGCCCTGAAAAAAGTACCCAACCTTTCATGCCCGCAGACGGAACATCATCTACATATCTAATGACCTGCCTCTACATATAAAACGACCAGCAAATGTCTGAACGACCGGGCTTTGTCTCTCGGGTTATTCAGCGGATTTTTCACCATCGATGGCTCCTTCGAATTCAAGTTTTTTTTTTTGCAGATGGACCATATTTATTTACATATCTTTCCTACCTTTGACCTTACATATTAATTTCATGCATAATATTTTGAGCACATGCCATTAGAAAACCCCAGCACTCCTCTTATAGAATTAGTTATTGCATGATAACATGTCGGCATCTGTCCTCACCACAGTCGCTCAAAAAATGGAGGTTAACTGTTCTCTAAGGTTACTACATCTACAGATGAGATGCGAATGCGGCAGCAGT